AGGCGGTGGAGTGCTTGCGCTTCTCCGCGCCGGAGTTGCTGACGGTGCAGGGGTACATGGGGATGCTCTGCAGGAAGGGGACGGGGGTGCTCAGAGGACCTGTGAGGGGAACAGGAGAAGAGGACTGCGTGAAGCACAGCATGGCACAGCTCCAGGGTGCTCCAGCCGCTGATCCCGACCTGCGGCGAAGCCCCGAGATCCAAGCTGCAGCCCCACATGGGCCGAGGGTCCCCAGCCTGCCCAACCAGCCGCAAACCACGCACACAGCCCTACGCAGGGGAATTTGCAGGTTCAGTTTGGGACCTTGCCAGCAGGCTTGGAGTGGCCCCAGGGGCTGGTCTGCTAACAGCTTGTAATCACAGCCCCTAAAAGGATGAGATCGCAACAGCACGGGGACAAACCCAAATCCCCCAAGGAGAGAGGACTGGGAAGCCTCCACAGGACAGCCCCTGGGTATCCTTGCCTATGTGCTTACCCTCTTCTTTCCACTGCCTTTTCCTGTTGATGGCTAGCCCCTCAAAAAGCCCTGTGTTTTGGGGGTTTGTGTCACCCCATAATAGCCACTTCACAAGCCAAGGGAAATGTCCTGGGGAGAGTCAGGAGTCAGTTCCACAACTCTCCATGCCCGGACTGCAGAGGGGCTCCCAGGGCTCCTGCACCCCGACTGCTCTTCCCACACTCTTTTCCTAGGATCTGCAGGGCACCCAGCGATGAATACAGGACCCATGCCCCAGCCCACAGCCTTCAGGTTTCACCCACCTTCCAGCAACTTCCTCAGCTGCTTCTCCTTCTTGGCGATCTCGTTCAGGAAGAGCTTGGAGTTGAGGTGGCCGATTTTGGGAGGGGGCAGGCTGCCACCTGTACAGTTCTGGGTCCTGTTGGGAACGGCAGGCAGAGAGGAGATGTGTAAGGGACAAGGTAGTCTCAGGAAAGAGTTAGACAGCAACTTCCCCCACACCCTCTCGGGGCCAAACCCCTTCCCTAGGGTGAAGAGCAGAAGGGAGCTGGCTGTCTCTGGTGGGCAGGACCTTCCCCATCCAGCTTTGCTGTGAATGTCCCATGCCAGGGCACACCTCCTGCAGCTGTGTCCCCTGCCCCAGCATGGTCACCCCAGCTCACCTCTGCTCTGGTAGCACTGGCTTTAACCCCCTGCCCCGTCTGCTCTGGTGGAACTGGACTGAGCCCTGCACCCCTACCCAGCTGGTCCCACCCTGGCTGGGGTGCTGGGTCCCAGCTCTGCTCTCCCACAAGCACAGCACTACGTGTCCTCTAGTCCAAGGGGAGGACTTGATTCAACGGCTGCAGAAGGAGATTTTTTCATCCTCCATACAGAGAGGGAAGCTGAGGCATGGCACATGCCTCTCCCAGGTCCTGTAGCATCCCTGGCCCTGGTCCTCCTCTGGACATCGTGCTGCTGCCACCCCTGTGAACACAAAAACACCCTCCCCTCCCCAGACATGCCTGTTCCGCTGCGCTTACCTGTCCATTAAGATTTTCACAGACTTGGTGTTCTAGGAGTGGAAGGAGAAGCTCTGGTCAGTAAGGCCAGTCCCTGCTGCAGTGGCCACATCCCCTTTAAGTGTCAGCTTCTGTGGCACCCCAGGCTGCCCAGGGTGCTGAGCCCTCTCCCCCCCAGTACAGGCTGTCCCAGCCCTGCCTCCAGCATGTGGCACCTCCTCATTTGAGGCTGGCACTGAGCCTGCCTCACTCCTTCTTGCCTTCTCCCACTGCTGAGCCCTCTGGAGGCATTAGCTAGCCCTGTCAGTGTCCCCAGCCTGCTCCTCACCATGCCCCATGCTAGCCCATGCTCCCCACACAACCAGACCTCCCCACAGCTCCGTCCCACCCCTGGCACGGACAGCTTGTCTTACCTTCATGAAGTTGATGTCCTCAGTTTTGTCGAACATGACCTGAACAGAGCTGAGAAGCTTCTTTGCCTCCTGCATGCGCTCGTTGAGGTGCAGGACCTGGGCAGCATTCTCATTGCAGAACTTGGCCTGGGCCTTGTCCAGGATCTCCATGGTCTTCCGCAAGTCTTCGTCCAAGATCTGGTGCATCTTCTCGTACTGCAGGCGCACCTCACCCTTCAGCTGGCTCACCTTCTCCTGGGGAGAGGAGCAGTGTCAGACCCTCTGTGCCCTCCAACCTCTCCCATGATGTTCTAGTTCATCTGGGTCCCTTCCCCAGCAGGGGAGTGTGTGACCTGAAAGCTGCACTCTGAAACACCCACACAGACCAAACCCTGCTGTCAGCTGCCACATGGGCCTCCTATGTGCCAGAGACGCAGGAGGGACACTGAGGAGGTTTGGTTGGTCCCACAAATCCCCAGACCTACTTCCTGGGGCCTATGTGGGGATCACCTCCAGAAAGCTAATGCCAAACAATGACCTGCTGCACCACCAACACAGGTGTGGTCCCCTGAAAAAACCCACCTATCCCCATCTTCATCCCCTTTCCCATCCTCATCCTCATTCCCAGCCCCACCCCAAGCTGGAGACACTTCATACCCCAGAGCCCTTCCCTCCATGCTCTGGGAGGCTGAGGGCCTTTAAGGACCATGAGCTGATCTTGTTTCACCTGTGTCCCAGCAAAACACTTGCTTTCATCTCTTCCACCTCCTGGGTATTTCAAAGGTTTATTCAGGGATCTCCCACTCCAGACCCTCCCCTCCCACTTGGGATGAAGCGGGTGTTGTGGGGAAGGCTGTGCTGAGCTGGGGGCAGGGTGGGCAATCTGATATTCAAGGACAGCCTTTTCCCTCACCTGCCAGCTCACTCCAGGACCCATAAGACTGTAGGACAGCTCCAAACCCATTTTGTCCCCCAAAAGGATGACTGCCAGACTGCAAGGGAGGCAATAGGTCTGTCCAGCTACTCCTCCCTTGCATGTCTGCTTTTCTCCCTGCCCCTTATGTCCCAGGAACTTGTCCCCATCGTGCCATGGGGTGACAGTCCCTGGGACTGGTGATGCACCAGTTCCCCCGCCCAGCCGCTTGTCCGACTCCAGCTTATAGAGCTGCTCTTCGATGTCCTGCTCCCGCTCCTCCAGGCGGTCCTGCTGCTTCATCAGCATCTTCTGCAGAGATGGGAGAGAGCAGCCGTTGTCAGAGCCCAGCAGCCACACGTGCCCGTGTCGGTGCTGCCCGCACCAGCTCTGCCCACGCGGTTCAGGAGGGAGAGTGCTTTTTCCCAGCAGGATGCCACTGCTGAGCTGAAAGCCCACGCGAAGCTTGTGGAGCTGGAAACCTCACAGAGGGGCCGCGTACGCCGGTTTATGTTATGGGCTGGGGACCTTGGTTTGGTTTCTCTGGACAGGGGCAGCCCCTCAGGTAACTTTCTGCAGCTCCATCAGCGGGGCCAGAGCCAAGCCCTGGGGACCCTGCGGGGTATGCGGAGAGGCTCATCTCCCACTAAGGCAGCAGAGTTTTGAGGCCCATCACCCACTGCCAGCAGGCTCCTGTAAGAGAAACATCACCACCTCCCTCGCGCCCCCCTACGCCACGCCAAATCCTTTCTCCCTTCCCTGCCTATGTGACAAGCCCCAGAGCCAGCATCAGCGTAATCGGGAGGGACAGAGTGAGGAGGAGCTGGGCCTCCCCTGCCACACTGCCAGCCCCTGGCCCCACTCCTCGGGGCTGGGCCTGGGCCATCAGCCGAATAACTGGGACAAAACCTTATCCCCAGCTATCAGCACCAGTGCCTCCTTCTTGCATGCCTCCCCAGCCAGGAAGAAACCCACCACCCATGAGAGAAGGGCTCCATGCCTGTGGGTAGGAACAGGGCTTCCCAAAATACCCCTCAACATCAACTCCTAATATTCCCCCTCCATGGGGGAAAAGCCAGGACACCAGCAGGATGAGGAGAAGGGCTTTTCCCGGCACAGAGATGCAGCATTAGACTCAACTACGGGGACAAGATGGGAAGAAACCGGCAGTGAGGATGAATTTCGAGGGGATTATTGCTATTATAAACCGCCGCTCGGGAATTTATAATCAAGTAATTAATTCCTGGACGAGGCGGGAGGGGGAGGGTGGCAGAGGCACTGCCGGGATTAATTGCATTGCAGGGAAAGGCTGTCACCTCCGACTCAATTCAAGAGCA